CTACTCTTGGATGAGGGAAATAAATTCCCTCTTTTCTGGTGAGAAGAAACTCAGCAGCCTGGAGCTGGGCCTAGAGCTCCTCAGCTCCGAGCAGGAACCTGTGCCATGGAGCTGCTGGTGGATGCCAGAGGCCAGGGCTGCAGGAGCAGGTGTTTGGGCATGGATCAGCCAAGCAGCAGAGAAAACCCCCAGGAGGAGGATTTTGAGGAGGAAGGACCAGGAGAGAACAGCTCTGACAGCACAGCATTTGGGAAGGGCAGAGGGACTGCAGGATTTTGTACAGAACGCTTCTCTTCAGCAGGGCAGGGGTGTCAAAGAAGTGTATTTTTCCCTCACGTAGGGAGGGATTATTTGGGGACACGAGGCTGCCAAGGGAGGTCCATCCCCTGCCTCCTCTCCCCAAACGAGCGGTCAGTGGCTGAGACGCCTCACCCAGCTCTGAGCTGATTTTGTCACCTTCAGCCAAGCTCTGGGCTCCTGGTGGTATTTTGGCTCCTTCAGCCAGAAGGCTTTAAATTCTCTGTGCCTCTAAGATCAAGGAGACAGTGAACCTGTGCTTGGCACCTGCTCCCCACGGGGAGCGGGCGCGGAGCGGGGTGGTGGGGACGACAATCCCGGTCAACTCTTGCAGTATTGGATCACTGTATGCCATTAAAAAACAGCTTGTTCTAGGTCTAATGTCTTCTGCAAATGGATATCTGTGAAGGCTTCTGGCCCCTTCCAGCCCTGCCTGAAAGAAATGCCTGCAATGAAGTGGTTTCTGCTAAGATGGGATCTGCAGTGGGTGGGTTCAAAACTGTGGGAATTCTCGGCGTTGTAAACGTGGATTTGGCTTCTGGAGAGGGCAGATGATGAAGTGCAAGTACTGAGGCTGTTCCTGGGGTGGGAGGGTGAAAAAGGAAAGGAAGGGTGAACATAAAAAAGGCGATTTGGTTGCAGTTTCTGGGTCAACAGTGGTGGAGACAACGGAGTGCTGCTAGTGCTGCTAATTGTGATGTTCTTGGAAAAGGAAAAAAAAAACAAACAAACTAAACCAAAGAGTATTCAGTGAAACAGAGGGTGTATGAAAACACAACAGGAAGGGAGGCTGAGTGGGAGAGAGGGGACCTGTTCTCGGGTCAGCATCCCCCAGGTGCACAGTGCTCCCACTAAATGATACTTGAGATATTCGAGGGAGGGATGAGAGATGGGGGATAGGAAATAACAGGATTCGTCTCGTTTCTTTGAAACACCAGAAATTCAGAGAGAAAGAAAAAAAAAAAATCCCCTCCCCCTTAACATTTCTGGTGCAGAGGTTTTGGGTTTGTTTGTTTTGTTGTTTTGTTGAGTTGTTTTTTTTTTTTTTCTGTTTTGTTTTGTTTTTTTCAAGTCAGTTTTTCAGAAATATTTTTAAAATGTACATTTTATAAAGTTTATCAAGTATTTTCATATTTAAAGCCAAATGTAAATAGAAGTCTGTAAAAGAGGACAAGGAGAAGACAATGAAAAGGCCACTCAAAGTATCAATTCAGCTCGGCAGTCTCGGCTCACTAGTACTAGATGCTACAGGTTAGCATGATTTTTTAGCAAATACTTGCAAGCCTTATAGGATTCCTAATGCTATGAACTTTATTTATTTTCAAGCATGGACTTTTCATTTGAAAACATGTTCTAGTTACTGGCATTTTTCAGAGTTACCAGCTAGTCCTGTCGAGGGGGTGTGCGTTGGGGTAATCCATTACTCTCTGCCGTGTTTCTTTTTTTTTTTTTCTCTTTTTTGTCTCCCAACCCTTTGTCTTTGCCAACTGAACCTTCCATTGCAGGCTTGCACTGGGCCTCTGGCTCCGGGGAAGCTGCTAAAAAAAAAGAGACCTGCAATGTAACTCCGTGGTACCACTTCCCCTTTCTCCATCGGCTCTGTGTTTCTCAGCCCGGTGTAGGTCAGGCTATTGTAGCACTTCTACAGCAGCAAATTGGGTTAGTCATTTAAAAAGAAAAAAAAAAAAAAAGGTATTTTTTTAAAGGACTAGACAGTGACTGACAGCGTTTCTTCAGTTCCTGTTGATCCTGGGCCAAGCTGATGCTGATTTGGGGGGCCCTTCAGGCTGACTGAGCTCTACCCACAGGCTCCACCGGGGCTTTGGTTTCTCCAGGATCAAGTTGGCTCGCACAGAAGGTTTATACTGTATCTTGCTTAGGGGCTTGGGGGGGAATATGTTATTTCTGCCCTTCCCTGAAAATACTTGAATGAGACACATTGTCTAAACCATAATATTGTGTACAGTGACAAAAGCGTTCCGGGGGCAGGTGGGGATGGTTCCCCTCCCTTCCCCCCGTCTCTTCCGTGCGAGTTGGCCTCGGTGCAGCAGCAAGGGTGGAAATCCTGACTTATCAGCTGGGTTTGGTGACACTCTCCCAGCCATGAGACGCTTCTGTGGGCTTAGTTTAGCACTCTCTCTCTCTCTCTCTCTAGTCTTGGGAAAGACAAAGGGTTCAGATATTTAATTTGTTCTCTTAGGTCTCCTTTTTTTTTTTTTTTTTTTTTTTTTTTTTTTTTTTTTTTTTTTTTTTTTTTTTTTTTTCCATAATGGATTACAAGGTAAAACTGAGAAGTACTGTAATGTCTTTAAACTATGGCTGCTCCATCACCATTGTGAAGTAGAAGGTGCTGCATAGTTGCCACTCCACAGCCAACGAGAAGCTGATTTTGTAAGGACTTTTGGCCTGCAGCTGTTGTAAGGTGAACAATCTCGGCATCTGACAGTTGTCCATGACTATTTTCCTGTTTGCAGCCTTTTTGTATCAAAGTCTTCCTAATGTACTGCACAAATTGTGGATTGTACAGATTTTTATATATTATGTCTTATTTTATTATTTCTAAATAAATAATTAAAAAAAAAAAAAATTGAGAACGAGCTGGTGTGTGCAGCAGGTGTGTAAATGAGAGGGGGCCTGGGCCTGGTGGGGGTTATAGAGCTGTATTTGGGGTTGTACAAACACAGTTGCATTAAATGGTAAAACAGCTCAAAGTCTGCCTAAACTCCAAAGCAGGGGAAGGAGGGGGGGATGAAAGCCCAGAGCATCAGCCAGCACACTGAAAGATTGGGCAAGGGATTAAAAAATTAAGCAGGAAAACTCATCTTGAAATCCCCGTGTTTCATGTCTGCCTGGAACATCTCCTTATTGAAATGATGTTCCTCAGCTCAGCTCAGTTCCAAACACGCTCTGTAATCCCCGTCCAGGCCTCATTTCCCGGGAGCCCCGAGCCTGGTGGCACCAGCACGGGGCTGGTTTGTGGGACAGGACAGGGGAGAGCAGCAGGGACAGGCTTCGGGGAACCCAAAAGGGCCATAATGCCCTTATTTGTGTGAGCTGGAAAAGCTCCTTCCCCGTTCGTGTGCGGCCTCCAGGGCAGAGATTGAGGCTGCACGACTGTGACTCAGCTCAAAAGTGCTGATCTAACGGGAATCAAACACCCTGCCACGGCTGGGGAGCATCTCAGGGCACTTCTGACCCCTCTGCTGATTTTCCAACCTTTTTATCAGCCTGTAATGCCATTAAACGATGCCTGGGATGGAGCCCTGACCCTGCCTAGCAGGACTCCATTTATGAATTCATTTATAAATTCAAATTTACTTTTCAAATCTAATGGTCTCCTGGAAAGCTTATAATAATAATTACAGGGCTGGATTTAGAGATCCAGATTAGCTGTCACAGCCTGGATCTGCTTATTCTCCCTGCTGAAAAGCATCCTCTGAGAGAGCCGCTCAGGGCTCTGCCCCTGGCTCTGGTGTTTCTGCCGGGACAGTGGTCAGGGACCATCATCAGCCTGTTTTCCCATTCCCTAAATCATTAGCACCCTCTCCTGTCAGTGCCTCTCCCTCCTCTCGCAGGTCCTGCCGAGGGGGAGTCAGCACAAATCCAGCTGCACATTTTGGGAGCTAGCAAGGCAATAGCTGAGCTCTTCTCCTTTCC